ACATTCCCATTGATATCTAAATGACTAAAAATGATATTTTTTTTCTTTAGTGTCTGGACAAAATTAGCAATGTAAGAGTTCATTAGCTTTTGTCTTTCTCTCCAAAACACGCATGTGTAAGTATCAGACATTGCAGGTATGTTTGTAGGGTAAAGCAACATCTAAAGCCTGAATCTTTTGCCTTAGACAAAGTTTTAGAAGTGCCAGACGCTATCATGCAGCGCTTTATTTGCAGAAATGTTGCCAATATTGACTCGTTTTCTGGAGTGGTAAGATTTGTTTTGTTAGAAATAGTAAGCATATGTTCTCTGAGTGTAGATAGCTGGCGTTTTCCCATGAAAAGCTCAAACTCTTCGTTTCATACCACATTGTACACTCTGCAGCCACTGCCTATATTTATCTGAAATCACTCGTGAATTGGTGTCAGAATTTCTCAGGAAGAGAAGGGAGGGTGGCTGCTGGGGGGTTTTATGGCGAGTTAGCACATTTTTTGTTTATTTTTTGATGAGTTATGCGTGTTTGTTGGCGATATCAATAAGACATGTCAAGGAATTAATGTTTTGGCTAATTGGAAAATGGATGTGTTACCAGTTCACGCGCCTGGTTTCGGTGCAGATAGGACCTCAGAGTCCCTGGCTGAGAGAGGGGTGAGCTTTACACGTGGTGTTTTCTGGGCTGTGCTGCGAGGACCCTCCCTCCATCTCCTCGAAGGAAAAGGTGGCAGAGCGTGCTGGAGAGAAGCATCCTCCCAGGCACCGCTTGAACCATGTTGATGCAGAAACCGGTGTTTTTCCAAAGTCATCGACAAATGTTCTCATTGCTTCTCTCTAACGTGTGCCGTACCAGCCATCCTGCCCTTGCAAACTCGTTTTTAATGTAGCTCTTTGCCAACTTTCATCTTGTGATGATCTTTGGTAGCAAAAAAAGCGAAAATCAGACTAAGCCATCTCCATCTCTGGAAGTTCCTGGTGGTCTCCGACGTGGTCCTTGGCCTTCCCATGCGAAGGGGGCCCTCGGGTGATGAGCGACGCGAGGCCGGCTCGCAGCGCTGAGCCGCAGTCGGCTGTGCGTCGGCTGGCCCAGGGGGGGCTGGAATATCTCCAGAGAAGGAGACTCCACAGCCCCTCTGGGCAGCCTGTGCCAGGGCTCCGTCACCCTCAGAGGGAAGAAGTTCTTCCTCGGGTTCAGCTGGAGCTTCCTCTGCTTCAGTTTGTGCCCGTTGCCCCTTGTCCTGTCGCTGGGCACGTTGCTCTCCCTTGGAACGCGCTGGAGCATCGGCTCCGTGAAACATCGGGTTTCTCTGCGGTTTTTCCAGGCAGCGAAAGGCAGACAAAAGCCTAATTTGGCTCAAGTTTTCAAAGTGTTATTCTTGCATAAAGAGAATTATTCTCAGTTCTGCAATTATGGTTTCATTCCAGATGACGTTTTTTTCATCTTCACCACTATGAATTAATGTCTTGTTCTGCAGAAGCGGTGCATGTCGCCAGTTTTGAAACTCTGCCCTTGCATGCTGATTTGCAGGACAGACCCTTTAGAAAAAATACGGGTGTAATGCAGGGCTGCAGCCTTTCCATTGGCCCCGCTTGAAACACGTCTGCTGCTCTGTTCGAGCAGTCAGCTTCTTCCCTGGGATATTTTCAATCCATTCTGTTCCACGCTGCACTTTCTGTAGCTTCTTGTGAGGTTTCATTTCTTTTTTTGCACCCCAGGACATTTTACTTATGTTTTCTTGCTGAAGTGTAAGCAGCCCTATTAGTCATTAATTATTTTTATGCTTCCTCCGAGTCCCATCGACCATCTAGCCAGCAGTGACAGTTAATAAGTAAATTGATTCATAACCAGCTGGTTTTGCGTTGAGCAGAAGGGAGTGGGAACGGTTTGCTGGAGATCCATACGAATGAGGTCCTTGCGTGGAGACAGCGCTGGGTGTGCGTGCCAGCGTCACCGCATGCGGGGTGAGCGGCTGGTGCCGAAGCGCCCGGCGCGTGCCCGAGGGGAA